CTAAGTCACTATACTGCCTGGGCTGGACTTGAACTTGGAATTACAGGCATGTACCACTATGTGTGGGATTATTTTGCTTTTTTTTTTTTTTTTTGCACCAGGGATCGAACTCGGCTCCTTGCGCTTGCGAGGCAGGCGATGGAACCACTGGGCTAAATCCCTGGCCCGAAACTTTATGTTTATTTATTTTTAGTACTGAGGATTGAACAGGACCTAGCACATGCTAGGCAGTCTACCACTGAACTGTATCACCAGCCCTGTTAAAAAATTTTATTGAGAGATAGGATCTCATTAAATTCCCCCAGACTAGCCCCAAACTTGCTATTCTTCTGCTCATCCTCCCAAGTAATTGGAATCGAGAGGGGTGCACAACTGTGCCCACAAATCATAATTTATCTTAATATCTCTATAAACAGGTATTTAATAAGCTTTGCTTAAAATATATTTCTAGCCAAGCGTGGTGGTACATGCCTTTAATCCCAGTCAGTGGAGGCTGGGGCAGAGGATCACTGAGACTTCAAGGCCAGCCTAGTCCACATAGTGAGACTGTCTCAAACTTTTGAAACAAAGAAATATATATTTTTTCCCTAGAAATCTAAATTATAGTAAGGATTTATTTGTACCTGTTTTGCCAATTTAAAAAAAAATTCCCACAGAGAAAAAGTAGTCTCAGAATACTTTTCCTGAAAATATTAATCAATAAATAAATAATAAAAACATTTTTTAGCTGGGTATGGTGGTGCACACCTCTAATCCCAGATCTCTGGGCGGCTAAAACAGGAGAACCAATAATTTCACTCTAGCCCGAGCAACTTATTGAGACCCTGTCTCAAAAATAAAATTAAAAAGGAGCTGAGTGCAATGGTTTATACCTATAATCCCAGAGCTCTAGACTGAGGCATAGCAAGTTTAAACCCAGCCTGGACACTTTAGTAAGAATACTGTCTCAAAATAACCGGGTGTGGTAGCACACACCTGTAATCCTAGCATTTGGAAGACTGAGGCAGGAGAATCAAAAGCCCAAGACCGGCCTGGGCTATATAGTAAGTTCAAAATTAGCCTGAACTACATAGTAAGGCTATCTAGGGCCGGGGATTTAGCTCAGTAGTTCTGGCATGGGCCTCGAAAGCGCAAGGTCCCAAGTTCGATCCCCGGTACCAAAAAAAAAAACAACACACACATAGTAAGACTATCTCAAAAAACCTAAATAAGTCAATCAATCATTCAAAAAAGATTGGAGATGTAGCTCAGTGTAAAGCCCCTGGGTTCAATTCCCAGTACTGAAAAAAAGTTCTTTTTACAGAACACAGCCATGCCCATGCATGTGTGCACTGTCTATGGCTGTTCTGCTACAATGGCAGGGCTTAATAGTTACTACAGATACTTGGGATCCTCCCACCTCAGTCTCCTAGAATGCTGAGATTACAGGTGTGTCCCACCATGCCCAGCTTACAGACTGATTTTAAAAAGAAAGAATTTATATTACAATAGTACTATCTACCCTGCCTAATTTATCTATTGCTATAGTTTGAGCAAAAGAATAACATAAAATAAGCTGGGCATGGTGATGCCAGCTTGTAATCCCAGGACATGGGAGGCTGAGATAGGATTGTTGCAGGTTCAAAGCCAGCCTGGGCTACATAGTGAGTTCAAGGCCAGCCTGAACTATACAGTAAAACTCTGTCTCAAAAAAACCCAAAACAAAACAAACAAAAAAGATCAAAACCGAAGTAAGAAATCTCTGCCTTCAGAAAACATTATACCCACAAAGAAAGCATTTCTTTAAAAAAAAAAAAAAGAACGAAAAAAAACTATAGTTTGACATCCTACTTTTTTATGGGCTTCCTAGTGCAGGTTTCCTTCCTCTGGGATATCAGTTTTACCTCTACACTACTTCAAATATGTTTAAAGGAGGCTTCTTTAAATATGTACTAAGAACACCTGAAACAGAAAGACTGGCAAATAAGCTGCCTCCAGCAAACAAATAGACTAACAAAAACCAACTATCCCAGACAATGGGGAGTTTTCCCCTGGTAGATTTAAAAGTCTTAGCAGAACAGAGACACTTAAATTTACAAATTAGATGTAAACCTTAAAAGATACTCCTTCTATATATAGTCTCTTTATTTTTCACTCAGGGAGTTCTGCCTATTTTCTGAAAATTTAACAGTAATCTTGGGCAGTGGAAGAATTTGAGGTCGACTTACCAGAACCAAACAAAACACACTATCAAGCCACAAATGAAGAACAATCAATTTTTCCCAAATAAAACACTTAAAGAACTTGAACAATAAATAACTGGTTGATCTCCACATACAAATGCATAAATTCAATACACACAGACACACATTTAATCCCATTAAAGACATTTACAGTACCTCTAATAGTAGCCCAGTGGGTTTGGGGATCAAGTTACCTGTTGCATTTTCTTGTATTCACCCACTCTGGCATAGGCCATGAAGAGGTGAGAGTGATACTCCTCACTGTTGGGAACTTTCTTCACAGCCGCTTCATAAAGTTTCGTAACTAATTCCGCTAATAGAAAGAGAAATAAGACTTAGTTATATTATAATATTAAAGCAAATCCTAACAACTTTTAACATTTTTTCCTATTTGGTGAAAACAGGTGCTTCCTATCATTAAAAAAAAAAGAATGAGGGCCAGGGATTTAGCTCAGTGGTTCCACCGCCTGCCTCGCAAGCGCAAGGACTTGAGTTCGATCCCTGGAACCAAAAAAAAAA